CGAGAGAAGGCGAAGGCGCAGCGGCCCGACGAGGGGAGCGCCGCCCCCGAGAGCCGCCCTCCTTCCCTCAGGAGCCGACTGGACGTCCTCCGGCGGGGGCGAGGGGCGAGGGGCGTGAAGCACTATTGTAATCTTGTCGGCAACATTTGCTTCCGCCGCTAATATAATTTTACCGGCCGTAAGTTAGACTTATGAAGGATATAATTACAGTTGCCCTGAAACATGTTTGAACTCGGTCTGAACTTCGTCGGGTGTGTGTGTGTGTGTGTGTGTGGGTGAGCGTGTGTGTTTGGGTAAGTGTGTGCGCGGGCGGGAGGGGGAGGGGAGGGAGAGGCTGAGGGGGTGCAGGCGCTGGGGGGGGGGGGGGGTTTATTTGCAAGCGGGCATAATTTTGCGGCATTATTCAGCAAGGGAAACATAATTCGCGGAGATGAAGCCACACCGCAAAGACGGCGGTAATGTAGCATCTGAGGCGAATGGAGTGAGGGAGAGAGAGAGACCCCGATGTATGGATGGGAGAGATGAGGATAATGCGATGAGGAAATGACTCACGCTCGTGGTGCTGCTGCGGGGGGCTTGACCTTTGGGGCCAGGAGAAGGTCGAGTGTTGTGCGTGTGTGTGATGTGTGTGTGTGTGTGTGTGTGTGTGTGTGTGTGTGTGTGTGTGTGTGTGTGTGTGTGGTGAGTTGTGGTGTGAGTGTGTGTGTGTGTGTGTGTGTGTGTGTGTGTGTGTGTGTGTGTGTGTGTGTGTGTGTGTGTGCATGCATGGGTGTACACTAGAATACACGAATATACACACGCACGCGAGTGTAACTTGTACATCTCCCTTCATATACGCAACGCATACCTGCCCCCCCCCCCTCACTCCCGCATAAATAAAAAAAAAAAAAAAACCCGGGAACATACATAGATATATATTCAAACTCTCCCTCCTTCTGAACCTGGATTTCATATGCCAACCAGCAAACTTTTTTTTTTTTTTTTTTTCTGGGAGACAAAGGAATATAAAATGTGCAGCTCCTCGAGATTCGCTCTCTAAGAAGCTGAGTCGACGTCTTGGGGAAAAAAATGGAAAAATGGGATCCTGATTCCTCTCGTGTGATCGTGAGTCTGGTGGGCCCTGTCACTCTCGCTGCGCCATTATCGTCGTTATTACGTTTTTATTATTATTTGATTATTTATTTTTTCTTCTTCTCCTTCTTTTCTTCTTGTGCCATTATCGCGTTATTATTTTTTATTATTTATTATTATTTTTTTTTTTCTTTCCTTCTTCTTCTTCTTCTTCTCTTCTTCTTCTTCTTCTTCTTCTTCTTCTTCTTCTTCTTCTCTTCTTCTTCTTCCTTCTTCTTCTTCTTCTTCTTCTTCTTCTTCTTCTTCTTTCTTCTTCTTCTTCTTCTTCTTCTTCTTCCTCTTCTTCTTCTTCTTCTTCTTCTTCTGTATTCTTTGGTTTGTTTCGTGGAAGTGTGAGAAGAGTGTGATTGGGGGAGGAAAGGAAATTGATCGAAGCTTAATAAAGCTTGTTTGTGAAAAGAGAATTATACACTCAGCAACACACACACACACACACACACACACACACACACACACACACACACACACACACACACACACACACACACACACACACACACACACACACACACACACGCCCACACCCACCACCCCACAACCCACACCACCAACCCCCACACCCACACCCACACCCACCCCACACACACCACCCCACACACACCCCACACACACACACACCACAACTCCCTCTTGAAAGTTCACCCCCAAGGAGTTGGCTGCAAGGAGGGAGGCACAAGACGCGCGGTCGAGCCGAGGACGTGGCGTAGGAAGGTGTTCGGAGGAGGAGGAGAGAGGGAGGGGAGGAGAGCGCGACGCGAACAAAGGAGGACGAAGAGGGGAACTGGGGCGGACGGAAGGAAGGAAGGAAGAGGCAAGAAAGACGTTGCGAGGATTTTGAGTTTTGCGGTGGGCGGATGGAGGGGGTGGAGGGGAGGGGAGGGAGGGGGAAAATGGTGGTGGAGGTGGGGGAAGGGAGAGGGTAGGAGAGGTGGGTGGATGGGGGGAAGAGGGGACGGAGGGGAGAGGTGGGGTGGATGGGGAAGGGAGGAGGGAGGGGGAGAGGTGGGGAGGGAGGGAGGGGAAGGGGGGAGGGAGTTAGAGGGGACTGAAGGTGGGATGAGGAGGGAGGAGATATCGGGGAAGGAGAGAGAGAGAGAGAGAAAGAGGAAGATTGAGACAGAGTCTGAGAGACAGCGTACAAGGGAGAGGGAGAGAACACAGATAAAAGAAGGGCGGAAGGAAGGAGGTCCTGCAGGCGCGTTTAAAGGGGCGAAGGGATGCCGTGTGGGGGGTTTTATTTCGAGCAGGTGATGACACTGACTGAATGGGTGAGGATAAGGCTGGATGGAGCGCTGGATGGGGAGTCTTCCTCTTCTCTCTCTCTTCTCTCTTTCTTTCTTTCTTCCGGAGGTCTTCTTTCTTTCTTCTT